CTCCAAGTTGTATGATTTTTTTTTTCTTCCCAAAAGAGAGAGAAATAAAAGTTTGATTCTTCACTCGACCTGCTTTAGAAGTAGCTGTCAGAGATTTAAGTAAAATGTTCAATAGCTGCAGTTACGGTAATAGCTATGACTCCTCTGGTACTGTGGTGCTGATACGGAGGCCGTGCATATCCTGGATTTCCGATTTTAAGGTCTGGAATAAAAGAAAAAGGTATCAAAACAGAGTTACCAAACTAATGGAAAGAGTATTTCACAAAGGAGAAATAAAAGGTTCAGTCTGGTAGGTAATTTGAGTAATATTCACAGACAATAATAACAGCATATTCTAATGTGAGTTGGGTGTACTACATCTTTACCTGGGTGATCAGTTTGTGCTGCTTTACCCGAGAGAGGCCTTTGAAATCGGGGGCTTCTACCCATACCTCATACATCGCTCCACAACCACCTGTTCAGACAAAAAAATAGGCTATTATGTGTTAAAATATAATACTGCAGATTATGTGATGAACTTTAAAATGTAAAAACACATGGACCGCAGTAGAATATCTTTATTTTATTTAATCAACACATGGACTGCAGTAAATCTTTATTTTATTTAATCAATCTCTTTACAACAAGAATAGACTGACTTCACCTAATCATGTTCAAACTAGGACAAGGACCAATTAATCCTGGAGGTCTATCTCTAGCAACACTCTTTGTAAACAAGATAAAATATCCAAAAGAGATAACAAATAAAGCATGTATAAGGAAAAACATTCTTTTATGAACTTTATGAACTAACCCGAAATGTCTCTAACTTCAACGCCAGTAGCCTGTGGAAAACGTTGCTTGAGAATTTCTGCAAGTTTGGCTTCCCCTGCGTTCGTTGCCGCGTCGCACATCCATCTCACTGCCCCCTGTTGATAAAGAGTAAATGATAATAATGGAGAAAATGTTTCCTGGAAAACATTTGATTAGATTGTATATTCTGATGATAATAAAGAGGGCAACTAATTATAAAAGCACATGGCGTCAATACATCAATAAATTCTATGATGATATTTTTCATCCAAGACAAAGTTGTCACAAATTGTAAATAAAGCTTTTTATCTGAAATTTCTTCGGTCCTTCAGGCAATATATTAATGTTTAAGAAACCAAATCTTCCCAGAATATAATCTATAGTGGAGGTTTGTTGGCCTTTGCCTGGCCACCAAAGGCACACAAGTCATGGCAGTCTCTTGACTAAATGTATCACTTGGATTCATTATTATATTGCTTTTTTTATTTATAATTTGCAATATCTACAACATTAATGAAAATGCTTTTAAATTCACTGAGATTTTAAATCTATGTTATGTAACAACAAAGAATCAAAGTACTGAGTAAACCAATGTTATTTGAGTTAGGTGTGGTAAAAAGTTTTTCATGGAATGCAACAAACAAGTCACAAAAATAATACAATGGCATGTACTTTAATTTCAACAAAAAAATGAGATATGAGTACTAAGATGGAGGCATAATAAAAATATAAATAATTTTGAAATTTTATGAATAAAGTACTTTGCCAGTCAGCTGTTTCAGCCCCATGACTTTTCTGATCATAGAGTGTAATACAAAAGCTGTAAGTTGAATAGAGAAAGTATAAAATGCCGCTAAAATGAGCAAGCATAAACATATGGATACAAAAGATGATACAAATGAAGGGAAAGATTAGGCCTTGACTTTATTTCCTTAACCGTGCCGCTGCCAATATTTCAAATGACAGATATCAGAATAAGAACAAGAAATAATTTTGGCATAAAATCCTTTTAGGTCTAAAATATTTTCGGGGAATACCTATGGAAGGTAAAGACATTGAGAGAATTGGATATCATGCAAAAAAATATATATTTTTTTCCTTGGCAATTGTTACAATAAACAATCCTATCCATAAATAGAACTAATCAATAGTCAAGATCATCTGAGAAAAGAAATTGCAGTAGCCTCTTGAAAAGAGCATAATTATGAATGAGAAAAAGATTGAATATTTCTAAGCAATGCATATATCAATTAAATTAACCATTGTACTGGAACTACACAGACAAATAAACCCCACACTGATCAGACAGAATAATTGAGCAGGTGAGACATCTCCCAAGGATACAGCGATCAATGATAGTGTTGTCCTGTGCAATACAAAGTATTTCTACACTGATTAAGTTCAGTAAGACCTGGTTAGTACAAGTGACCTATACTTATACAACAGTGGATTTAAGTTATAGTAATATTCACATAACTTGGCATCTCATCAAATTTAACCAAATTCTCCGATCGCCCGCCAATCAGCCAAGGAACGCCCCCACCTGTCTGCTAGACAAGAATTCAGCGTAAATGTGTTAAAATTCTGCTAAACAGATTTGAAAATGACCTTTCAACCTGATTTTAAAAGCGTAGCAAATAGGGAACGTGAAAGTCTAGTGTCGGCCTCATTCCTGTCAGCTCTATCTCCATGCCTGTCAGCACTCCAGCAAAGGCCAACAAACACCCCTACATTGAGCTTTATAAATTTAACTTGAAAATTCATATTAATTTACGGAAAATTAACGGAAAAGCCTCGGTTATAACTTGAAACCCTACTATTGGATTGGGTTTCAGATTATAAGCTTCCTGTCACAAATACCGGTGAATTAAAAGTGTGTTTGAATACAATAATTATAAAAAAGGAAAAAAAAAAAAAAGAAAGAAATTGCCGGTGTCTATTTAAAAAACTATATATATCGCTAAGAACAGCAACTACAACTACTAAATCATTCAGCATATTAATAAACAAAACCTACAACCCACAAAACACAGAAAACAACAGAAAACAAAACAAAACCAAAATAACAATATCCACAAACACGAAAACAAATGAAATAACAACAAATAACATCCACATTTTCTTCCACATTTAACCACAATATCCATTTAAAAATAAACCATACCTTTATCTGTGTGTATGACGACCACCCACGCGCTCCAATATACCGAAACATCTCTTTATATCTCGATAATCCTTGGTTCTAATCTTCAAAAAAATATCTAAAAGGAGATTTCGTCACTTCTCTTCAGCATATGTAACTCGGTCCAGCTGGGTCTCCGGTAACGAAGAGGGCGCAGCGAAGAGGAATTGGCGAAGAGGAGTTAGCGAACAGGATTTAGTGAAGGTGGTTGCGAAGGTGGAGGGAATGTATTTCTATGGTTGTTGTTATTATTATTATTATTATTGTTATTATTATATTGATTATCATTATTATTACTATCATTATCTATATTCCATTACCATCATTCTCATTATTATCATCACCATTATTATTACATTATTTTTGTTATTATTATTATTATTATTATTATTATTATTATTATTATTATCATTATTGTTACTATTACTATTATTACCATTATTATTATTAACATTATTACTGCCATTATTCTTATCACTTTTCTTTTCATAATCATTATTATTATTATTACTATTATCATTATGATTGTTGTTGACATTATTGCCATCACCATTACTGGATCCTTCCTCCTATTTCAATCTGAAATTCAAGGACTTTTAAAGGATTTCTCCTGGTCCAATTTTTTTTTTTTTTTTTTTTTTTTTTTTTTAAGGATGTATTTTACACAAGATATGACACCCGGTTTTTAAGGTGTATACAATAAAAGGTGAAAATAAATGACACCAGATTTAAGTAGATTTCTCATAGCCATTTTTTTTCATAAACTTTATTCATATTTTCAAGCAATACTATGCAATAAATTCTCATTAGTACTTGTCTTCAAGCACTAAACTATTGAAATAGCTAGTACAACTATGTATATGTCTATCTATCTATATATCTATCTATATACATATATATCTATATATGTGCATATAGATAGATAGATAGATAGATATTTATATAGATAGATAGATAGATATAATGGTCCACGGAAATGTGTGACAAAACAAACAAATCAAATAAACTAATAAAATCTTCGGTACTTTTGCATATTATATCATGACACAGATGTTTTTTTTTCATTAATAGACGTTGAAAAATAGGCACCCAATGTAAATTTCCATGGCTTTTCCAGGATTTCTTTTTGAAATTTCAGTTTTCAAAGTCATTATATTGCTATATATCATTACATATCATTATCATTATTCTTATTCTTATTATCACTATCAATTCATTATCATTACCATTATTATATTATCATTATTATTATTATTATTACTATTATTACTATTATCATTATTACTATCATTATCATTATTATTTCATTATTATCATTACAAATTCATAATTATTATTACTATTATTATTATTGTGATTATCTTTATGATGATTATCATTGCTGTTATCATTATTATTAATATTACTAGCAAAACTATCGTTACAACTACTATTACCAATACTACTGCAGGTGTATCTTTGTTATTCATGATATCTATGTAACTATTATTACGAATATCGTAATAGTATTTACTCTAGCTATTGCAAATATGAAGGTGAAATTATTATTTTTTCTTTGTTATTGCTATTATGATAACTATTATTCAAGGCATAATTATCGTTGCTAATGATAGTACTATTGCCATGATCATTCTCGTTGTCATTAATAATAGCATCATGAATTGCATCAATATAACATTTATCAGTTTACTTAATCTTTACTTTTCTGTTGCTAATATTTACCTCACCTTACACTTATTATCATTATAATTGTCATAATCTATACTCCCTATCATCATACCAATTATTAATAGGATATATATTTCTCTTAGGTGTAGATAAAGCAAACAAGCTTCAATCGTATATTTTATTAACACTCAACCATAGGTGAGACACAGTTATCACAGGTGAAGACTCGTCCACAAATATAGCACATTCTAACATATTCTGTGGACGCGTGTATTTACAGGCACATCAAACTACATAGTAATGATATGTTGACCACATGGCCTTCGCATTAACCAGGAATTGTGGGTTAATATCCCATATTTGGAAATCATCCATATTTTTTACGAATGTTCTCCATTTCTGAAGAGTTTGGATGTATATATTCACCCAAGACTTTGTTCAGTGGTCATGGGATTGAATACCCCGTTGTAGGGTTACTCTCGGATCTTAGGGATTGTTCACATATTATGTCGGCAGGTTTTTGGGATTTCTGAACCCCCTCCCACCCCCTTGTCAACACGTGTCAGCTAGAGGTACCCCCCCCCCATGTGCTGACGTCAGATTTTCCTCACCCCCCTCCCCTTGTTAAGTAAAATAAACATATTCAGCATAAACAATACCACTGAGTTTTCAAAACAAAACGAACGCTGTGCAATTAGTGGAGACAATTTCCAGCAACATCTTGTACTTTCAGATGGGTGGGAATCCAGCAAAATGAAAGGGATGTAAGGATGAAAATACCATGAGTAGCCCATACACCAAGTTCATAATAATTTCACAAAATAAAATTCTGACACATGCTGACGTAAGTTTATGACCTGACACCCCCCCCCCCTCTCCCCGATTTTCATGTCAGCTTTTGTCAGATTTTCCATACCCCCCTCCCCCCCTAGGCCGCTGACATAATATGTGAACGCTCCCTTATCGTAAACATGGATTCGAAAACCTTTATTTTAGGAATCCATCTATCAGTCTGGGTTATCCTTTACAGGGAAAATAATCGCAGTTTATCCTTCATCAGCTTTAGAAATGCTTAGTCTATCAATCCAACATTAATCAAGGCATTTAAAAAGAGCTCTGTGCTACGTAAGGGGCTTGGGTGGTGTCCCTATGTCGGCTAAGATGTTGATATAAAGAGAATGATTGACTCTTGATTTAATGACGTAGTTGATCGTAGAGAGACCGTCGTGTGGATAACGGCCCGTGTTTCTCTTTAGGGTCTGGTACCTGTTCGGAAATGAGGGGATAAATATTCAAATAATTGTATTCATGGAAAAAAAAAAACGTTGGGATGGGTATATTCAAATAATTGTATTCATGGAAAAAAAAACGTTGGCTTCGGTTGTAAGATTAATGTGTGGTCTCTTTTTTCAATCTTCTGAATTAACATGAATATATTTTATTCTCATTCATAGACTATGTTTTTCGTGAATGTAATCTTAATACTTGCATTTACAGCCGAGAATAAAGCTCATTATAACAACTTCGCATTCAAAGTGTGTGTATACGCGTGCATGTGTGTATGCGCGTGCGTGTGTATGCGTGTATGTGTGTACGCGTGTGCGTGTGTATGCGTGTATGTGTGTAGGCGTATGCGTGTGTATGCGTGTGCATGTGTGTGCGTATGAGTGTGTAAGCGTGTGCATGTATATGCGTATGCGTGTGTATGTGTGTGAATGTGTATGGCGTATGCGTTTGTATGCGTATACATGTGTATGCATGTGTGTGTGCGCGTGTTCACGTATGCGTATGTGTATGCACATGCATGAATATCTCCAACAAAGACCGTTCGCATCCCAGTCTCACCTCCGATCATTGACAGCCTGAGGGTCGTGCTTGATCGTCTTGTACCTCGCAACACTGGCCGGGAAACGCCACACAGGAATGTTCTCGAAGGACAGGCGCCTCCACATGTCATCGTCCTCACCCCCCCACCCCCAGTAGATGTTGCTCCAGCCGTTGACCCGCGCGAGGTGGTCCTGGGTCATGAGGCAGGCGCCCCCGAAGTACTTGTAGTACGATAGGCTGTGTGAGGATCTGTATGAGGAGGGGGCAGGGGAAGGGGGAAGGGGGGGGAGGCACTGGTCACTGTTTCTTGTCATCGTCCTGGGTCATGCTAGTGTCTACTATTTAGGTGTGTGTGTGTGCGTGAGAGTGTGACAGAGAGAAAGAGAGAAAGACAGTATGAGGGAGGGAGGAGAGAGAGAGAAAGGGAATGAAGGAGAGGGAGAGGGAGAGAGAGAGAGGGGGAGAGAGAGGGAGAGAGAGAGAGAGAGAGAGAGAGAGAGAGAGAGAGAGAGAGAGAGAGAGAGAGAGAGAGAGAGAGAGAGAGAGAGAGAGAGAGAGAGTATGAGCGAGGGAGAGAAGAGAGAGAGAGAGAGAGAGAGAGAGAGAGAGAGAGAGAGAGAGAGAGAGAGAGAGAGAGAGAGAGAGAGAGAGAGAGAGAGAGAGAGAATAGGAAGGAGAAAAAAAATGGAAGAGAGTGTCACTGTTCTAAACGATGCGGATGTTCTCAAAGAATGCTTACGTCATAACTTTATCATGTGCGTCATGCAAATGTCCGATAGCCGTCTGCACATGTATCTGCGCGTGTCATGCTGATCATTTATCTGTCATGCCGTATTTTTAATCGTCATGCTAGCTCACAGTTCAATGATGCAGCCCCTGTATCATGCTGCCCTTCATAAGTCATGCCGTTGTCACTGTTCACTGTTCGTGCCATGATGTCGCTCCGTTATGCTGACGTCACACTGTCATGCTGTTAATGTATCATAACGAATGTTTAGTTAATTATATACTGATAAGATTATAGACACGCAGGCATGCAAACAATGGTGGGCAGTCATTCTCAAACATGCATTTGCACAGACACTAAAGTACTAATACATTCTTTATTTAGAATGATTTTCTATCTCTCTCTCTCTCTCTTTCTCTCTCTCTCTTGCTCTCTCTCTCTCTCTCTCTCTCTCTCTCTGTCTGTCTGTCTGTCTCTCTCTCTCTCTCTCTCTCTCTCTGTCTCTCTCTCTCCCACTCACTCACTCGCCCTCCTCCCTCCCTCTCTCTCTCTCTCTTTCTCTCTCTCTCTCATGCTCTCTCTCTCTCTCTCTCTCTCTCTCTCTCTCTCTCTCTCCCTCTCTCTCTCTCTCTTCTTCTCCCTCTCTCTCACTCACTCACTCACTCACTCGCCCTCCCCCCCACCCCTCTCTCTCTCTCTCTCTCACTCGCCCCCCCCCCCCCTCCTCTCTCTCTCTCTCTCTCTTCTCTCTCTCTCTCTCTCTCTCTCTCTCTCTCTCTCTCGCTCTCTCTCTCTCTCTCTCTCTCTCTCTCCCCTCCCTCCCTCCCTCTATCTCTCTCTCTCTCACTCGCCCCCCATCTCTCTCTCTCTCTCTCTCTCTCTCTCTCTCTCTCTCTCCCTCCCCCCCCTTT